AAAAATATAAATAGAAAAATATAAAAGGAAATATAAATAATTATCAAAATATATCACATGATATTTTACATGTGATCTAAAATATCAAATGGTGACACCATTGATATGGGAGAAAATACATTTCGTGTATTAGTAAAGGTAGCATGGCTTATGCCGTGACCTCAATTTCATATTCACCACATTTAATAAAATAGGACCCAGCTTCACATCTACCTCTTATACTCTTCTCATCCTTATGACTTAACTTGCATGCTGAACATAATGACTTATCAATAATTTCATAATAATCGAATTTTTCACTACTAAACTCTCTATATATCAGGATATCGACCTAATATTTTATTACGAAAATAAACACGATCATAAGCCGATACACTTGCATGATCTATAGATGAAATCTTATTTTCTGACAATATATTATCTTTCAGAGAAAGTGCACTTTGTGCATTAGATGAAGCACTTACCTCTGTATTAGTTTGATCGTTCCCTGAGGGAACGATTTTTAAAGTCACTTGATTTATAATATTTTGAATTTGGACATTAGTCAGTTTTGAAATCTCATTTGCGCTATAAGTGACTTGCTTAATTTTATCTATTCCAACTCCATTTTTTCCGAATAACATAAGAAATTTTCTAGCTCTAAGAGTTTTTTTGCGCAAGTTATCTTGTATGACATTAGGAAGAAAAGGTTTCATTTCTTTGTAAATCACTGTTCTAGCCATTTTATCTTTGGTTTTACCACCGGCTGTAATATCACGAACCTTATTTTCAAATTCAAGAGAATAATAATACCAGTTTAAGATTTCCTGTTGTCTTGATTTGATTGCTGTTTTAAATAAATGAGACAAATGTTGGACAGAATTTTCAAAGGAAACAATCATCGATTCCTCCGAAGACATATTTGCTGATTTGTCACCGGAGTTGCTAATTTTGATAGAGCTGTCGTTTTCTTTAGTAGGTAAATGTAATTCTTGTATTAAACCTTGTTCAACGATTTGGTTTTTATCAATTTCGTCATCCTGTTCTAATTCAGACACTTCAGTTTGCAACGAAGGTGACTCAGTTAAAATCACATGACTTTGATCGTTCCCCGAGGGAACGGTTTTTGTATTACGATTAACTTGAGGTTGTGACTCCATATCTCCGGATGTAATTTCGTGAAATTGTGATAAGTCTTGGGCTTGGTTTCCAGCCGATTCGCGCTGAAGCTTTTTTTCTCTGTTTCTATCTCTTATCTCGTTGCTAACCCTTTCTTTAACTTTCAAATCCACAAATTCATCGACCTCTTTATCTTCTGGCGATATGGACCAGGAGTTGGATGGACGGGTATCGGAAGAAATAACATTTTGTAACTGCTTCTGTTCCAATTTCGTGACTCTGTCTCTGAGCTCAGCATTTTCAGCAATGAGATTACTGGTGTCTGTTTTATTTTTCTTTTCTAGCTCCTCGAATCTGGTCTTGAGCTCAGCATTTGCTTCTATAGCTTGCTTCAATTTTGTATTCTCGGCCTTGATCTCGGCATTGTCCTTTCTAAGCTCAGCAATTGTGGCAATTAGTTGAGAATTTAATTCTTGCAACGAATCGATTTTTGATTGAGTGTCTGACATTGTTTATACAAGATGCGGATATGTTCAAAAGTTTATTAAAAATCACATGACTCTGATCGTCACGATTCGTGCGGTTTTGTCAAGAAAAATCCTCGAACTATGATTTATTCTTTCGCGCCGGCATGTCTCATTGTTCCACAATAGTGCCGAATATACAGATGACTAAAAAATATCGCGTTGATTTATCCGTAAGACATATCCGGCTGTGCAACACGAACTGGCGAAAAATAAAATCTACGCTAACCCATATTTGTCTTGCTGTTATGGCAATCATTTTTTACATGCAAATTTATTTTCGAAATTCATAGAGAAATGAACCACTCCTATACCTGATATAGCAAATTACAAATACTTTTGCAATAAAAAGGTGCTGTACATAATGACTTTATCTAAGATTAATCTATCATGTCTATCAACACCTAAAAAAGCTTTTCAAGTTCTTGGATTAGGCTATCGTACCTCAAGCCCTCTGCGTCTTGAAAAATTTTATTCCACAATTCTGATTCGGCATTAGACTCCCAAAAAGCCAATATATTTTGCGCCCGTGAGCTGATGTTATGACTTGCTCCAAAGGAAATTCTCTCCACATTTGGCGGTTTATGAAGCATCAGGTAAAACGCCTTTGCCAAACATATCAAGTCAATTCTCCCTGAATAAGTTATCTGTCCCCCGTCGGCCAATGATGCCAGGATATCGTTGGGCATGCATTCAAGTGCGCCCGCAAAAGGCCCAGTTTCGTCTATTGTTGCGCTATATCCCCAATCGATAATCAAGATGTCACCTTTGTCACTACGGAGAAAGTTGTATTTTCGAAGATCCATGTGTACAAGTTTGAATTCTGAATGGAGAGTCTTGAGGGTGTTGATAATGTTTCCGATATCCTCTTTTCGGAGATTATTTACTTTCGTACAAAGAGGAGTTGTAACAAGGGTGCCCTCATTGTCCAGGAGGAGGGTCTGAAGATGAGACGAGTTCAAACTCGATAAAGCTTCCAGTACTGCTTTTTCCTTTTCAAAACAAGACCAATATTTGTCGCTTTTTGCTATTTTCACCACCACAGATATCCCATCATTAAGCTTTCCTTCATATACAATGCTAGTCCTTCCTGTACTGATGGGTCGAACCAATGTGACAGTATCTGAACCGAAGTTTAACGATGGCTCGATCCATCCAAGCTGATCCGGAGAACATTCCATAACCGTTACGAGGTGTCGCCACCCAGGTGGAGGGGTACCCTTGATTTCGTAAGTTAGCTTATATGGTGGTGTGTATTCATACGAGAATCGGATGTTGTCATGGGTATTACTGTCGTGCTTCTTCACCTTAAAGATACAAATAACCTTGCAATCTGTCAACACCACATATACGTAGGTTCTCCGAGGCTGAATTTGAAGTACTTTTTCGCCAAATGACACCGCGTGTCCTATATCTGCATTTGAGAATTTATTGCCGGCGCATTTTCTGATCTCACCAACAGCTACGACATCTAATGCGTTTAGGGGACTCCCTTTTTGGATGAAAGCGAAGTCTGGCTTTCGAGTAGCCAGCAACGGAATAGAATGGGAGTCTTCAACTACAAGTTTTGTACTCCTTGATAATGCTTTGCATTCGTCAATAAAATATTCTTGTAATATTTTTTCTGGGACCTCGGCGCCAGGCGGGCTATTAAACCTTCCAAGTGCTTGTCTCCGGGTCGTCGCGGTCAGTTGAATTGGGAAGGACATCTGGGTACCATGGTTTCTCACATAAATGCCCTTATCAGTTTCCGTAGTGGTAGCTAAACACAAATATTCAATGGTGTTTGCAGGAATAGTGATGGATTGTACAGATCAGATTAATGACATACCTGGAGCACTAAGCCAGATCTCTGTATTAAGTCGTGTTCTCTTTACTTCATAACGTACTGAACTTATTTCGGTTTTGATTTCGGTTTTGATTTCATCCAAATGTCTCTTCAGAGATGGTGTTAACCCTGTTTATGTAAGCAAGATAAAAGAAGGTGTTGAGATAATGAGCAAAAAGTTGAGCCATTTCGCGTTAACTAAATTAATTACGAGTGGCAACAGTTGGTTCTATGATAACGTAGATGTGTTTTTGGAGGGTGTTAGACGATAAGAAGCAGGAAAGAAAGAAAAGCACAAGTTAGTCAACGTCGAAACAGTATACCAAAATACAACGACAGTGAGGGAATTTAATGTGTGGCGTGAGCAGTAAGCAAGAAAAGCTAGGATAATTAATTACCAGTAGGGGCCTCAACGACTACATGTATATGTTTTTTCTGTGGTGGGTTCCAAAGTTCTCCAATCTCATCTGCCACCCGTAACTGGTTGCCTTGTAGTAAAGTTTGGGCCTGAATAGCACCGTCGTCGTCAATTGAGATGTCTACCTTCCAAAGTCTGAGTTTATCGGCGTCGATACCAGCAAAGTCATTTGTCTTCTCCGCCTTGATAAGCTTCTTGAGCACACTAATAGACTCATCCCTACCAATCTGAACTTCAAAGGCGTTATGGACGGCAGGAGTCTTTCCTTTTTCAAGGCAGAAGAGCTTTACCGACATGGTTATATTTGGTTTTTAGGATGTACTTGTGCAACTGTAGTATGGACGGACAAGAAGTACGAAAAAGGCTTTTCGTCGATTTTTGGGCGCTATGGGGTATATGTGAGAAATAGTGTTTCAAGCCGACTAGGATGCGCCGGCGCACAGCCGGCTAGCCGATTCAGTCGAGCTAATTTTTTCGATGCGGCGCAAGTCGATCACTGAGAAATTTCTAAATTAGGAAATTTATTATTATTATTATAGTATGCTATTTACAGTTCAAATTAACGTGTTTTATAGTTATATATAGTTTAATTCATGTACATGTATAACAATGTACATGTATTACAATATACATGTATTAGTAAAATCCAATAATTATTCATCTTTTTTCACGTTTTTTGCATTTTTATATTCTTTTCGCGTTTTTTTAATGAATCAAAAATCCAAAACTACTTTTATTAATTATGATGGAGAAACAGCACAATGGACACGACAATCAACTAACGAAACACAAAAGTCAATTAATGAACTTGTAGATTCTTATCCAAGTTTATCTCGCTCACCCACTCCTAATAATGAAGTATTAATATTACCACGCATTTTCATTTCTAGTAATCAAGTGTCAAATTCATCAAGCATTTTTATTCCTAATAATCAAGTATCAGATTTATCAAATACTTCGACTTCTAATAATCAAGCATCAAGTTTGTTAAATACCTCTTTAAAGAAAATTAATTCATCTACAAACAAAGAAAGTTGGGCATGATCATATTTTAAGGAAAATAAAATTACAAAAAAAGTTATTTGTCAATTAACTATCAAAAATTCACAAAATGGAGAGAATATTTCTTGTCTGATTTCTTATAATCTTACAACTTCAACAACAAATTTGGTGACACATCTAAGAACAAAGCATCAAATATATCCTTCCATTAATTCAGTAATTTCAAATAATTCAAAACAAAAAACAATTGAACAAATGTTTGAATCTACAAATCCCTTACCACGTTTTAAACAAGAAAAAATACTTTTTCGACTTATTGCTTGGATTGTTGATGACATGCAATCATTTTACGCAATTACAAATAAAAAGTTTCAAGAGCTGATTTATGAATGTGAGCCTCGTTTTGAATTTCTCTGTAATAACACAATACAAAGTAAAATCGGACAATCAGTTTCTTATACTAGAACACAATTAAATATATTAATGGATGAAACAATGATAAAATTCGCTTTTACTACTGACCTCTGGATAGCACATCATACTCCATATATTGGAATAACGATACATTGGATCTCTGCGAATTTTATATCATATCAAGCGCTTTTGACAATTAAAAACCTTCCATATTCTCATACAGGTGATTGTATTGAAGATGCTCTTCGAAATTTATTCGAGCAATGGGAAATAAGGATGCTTGCCTAAATTCTTTCAGAAAAATATCATCATAATTTCGACAGGTTACACACTAATTGTTAATTAGAATTTCGACATAATTTCGGTTACGACGGGTTTCAAAATTCGTCAGAATTTTGACGGGTTATTTACTAATAGTTTATTATAATTTCGACAGAATTTAGACAGTCACTAAGAGATTTCGGCAAGCAACCTTAATAGAAAATATCACAAAAAGTTTTTGTAGGTATAACAGATAATGCTTCTAATATGAAAAGAGCAATACGACAACTTGGATGCGATCATATAGGATGTACGGCCCATACTTTTCAGCTTGCAATTAATGATGGACTTGAATTAATAAATGACGAGTTAGTAAAAAAAGCAAAGAACTTAAATAATTTTCTTGTAAATCATGATAAATATCGTGATAGATTCAGAAAAGTACAAGAAGATATTATAAATCGGACAAATCTTCAAACCTCACAACGCAAACCTCTCAATCCTATTAGTAGTGATAGTAAAACCTGATGGAACTCAACATTAATTCTATTAGAACGACTTTTATTACTTCACCAAGCAATTCATGAACACCAATTACAACTTTCACATGATTTCGATCGTCAAGTGCGAGCAGATGCTAATGTTTTAAAAAACTTATTATTATCAGATAATGAGTGGAAATGTTTGAATGAATTAGTAATTTTACTGAAACCTTTTGCTACTGCAACTACACTCTTAGGTGGAAGTCAATATCCAACACTCTCACAAATGTTTTCCACTTTTCACAAACTTTTTAATCACTTGGATACAATGAATTCAATACTTATCTATCTGGATATTCGTATAGTTTTAGAAAAAATTCGCGAATCATTAACAAGAAGATGGGAGAATTCAAATATTCTTGGTTATATTGCATCATTTTTGGACCCGAGATTTAAAAATCTAGCATTTATATCAGAAGAAAGAATTCAACAAATTATTGAAAAACTAAAGAAAAATGCTACAGAAAGTATACCAACTATTTTTGAATCCTCTGATAATTCAGCTCAGATTTCTTATTTGCAAGATCAATCTCTTATGTCATTATTTTATAATGATTTCAACATTATGACGATTATTACTGAAACACCTATTGAATCAGAACTTCGTATTTATCGGAACATGCCAGTATTATCAAAATATGAAGTATCTCATCCATTATATGCAACAAATAATCTGTATAAGTGGTGGAACGATCACAAGGCAACACTACCATTACTTGCCGAACAAGCAAGAATTTACCTTGCAATTCCAGCTTCTTCAGTTCCTGCTGAGCATCTTTTTAGTGATGCCGGTAATATATTAACAGATAAAAGGAATCAGCTTGATCCTACAAACATACATGATATTCTTTTTCTTAAAGAAAATTCAGCTTTTATGAATGTATTTCCGGGATTATTGCAAAAAAAGAGCTAACGTTAATATGTATGTTAGATAATACATGTACGTAATTTATATTAATATTAATAAATAAAGTATCCAAATAAGAAAATTCATGTGACTATAAACTTGAGTCAGCTAGCTGAAGCAAAAAATTACGACTCAGTTGCGCCAGTATTTTGTTATCAGCTTGAAATACTACTGCAAATTAGTTTATAAAATGAATTATGTTTCATTCTAAATAGAATAGATTAGTTCTAGATTAAGAAGATCGAATAATAAATAATTATTATAAAAATAGTATGTATCTTAGCTAGAAAAAAGCAAATAGTAAGTAGAAAAGTAGTAGTAAAAAATTTAATACAAATAATTTTTAATTAACTTAGTGTTAATAAAGTTTTTTTATTCTTTAAAATTATAATAACTGACTTACTGTGTGTTCATCAGAAAAATTGATTACTTTGTGTTTTCTTTTCTTGATTAATAATAAAGATTCTTGATAAATCTAAATTACTTCTTGGTGAAGTATTCATTAAATATTAAAGAACTTTGTGTTCTATCTTTTTTAAAAATCCTTTTACAATACTTTGAATTCTTAGTGAATTTATTTAGTTCTTGGTGAACTTTTTTTATCTTTTAAAAATACACTTTATTCTTAAAAGTTCTTTGTGAACTTGTTAGATTCTTTGAGAATCTTTTAGCACTTTAGCTAACAAATAATAGTATTAGAAGATTATTTCATACTTTGCTTATTTTTTTATGCTTTTCACACGACGCAGTCACTGCCTATTGTTCTAGTAAAGACCTTTATCCATAAAGACTACTAACAGTAACAATACAAATCTCTTTTTAATATTATATAATAGTTATTGTGTTTCAATATGTTGTAGATCTATATTTTTATTGATTTCACCTTGTAATCTATATATGTAAATAATATGTAGATTAATATAACTCAAATTCGTTATATACAATGACAATCAAAAATAATGCAACATTCAAATCATAATTTTTAAATCATTATATCTCTTTCAAATTTAAAAATATTAAATCATGATTAATATAATTAAATAACACAATGCTATAGATTGATATGTTATAAATTCAATATGAATTATTAATTTATTTTTTTTCTAAATTCAAAAAATATTTGAAAATTGGTGTTGCATTATTTTTGTTCTTTTTCTTTACAGATCAAATGACATAATAAAAGCTACACAATCTTGATAACACACAATAATAATCGTCAATCTGTTTTTTTCCTCTTAATGTTAAAGCTTCTTGGCATACAAAAGGAGACAAAGCACTGTACAAGTCCAGAAGAAAGGGCAGAGATAATTCTCGCTCTTGAAAAAGGATACTTCGCACGAGAAATCGCAAGGAGACGAAATATTAGTGCTTTCACCATTACCCGTATAAATCAAAGATGGCGTCAAAACCATACTCTCTCTAATGCCAGCAGACCTGGTCGTCCAAATATTGGGAATGAGAAACTAGAACGAAAAATGATTAATCTGATTATTTCCCGTAGGTGCTCGACTACCGTTGAAGTCTGAAATTACCTCCATGAAAATAAAAATCTCGAAGTTTCTGTACCAACCATCCACTGTATACTCAATAATAATGAATTAGTATCTAGGATAAAGCGAAAAAAGTCATATTTGAAGAAAGAACATTGGAAACGTAGGTTAGAGTTTGCAAAAAAGTACGAAAATTGGACCGAAAAAGAGTGAGCAAGCGTAATCTGGTCTGATGAGTCAAAATTCAATATTTTCAGGTCAGATGGGTGCGAATACTATTGGAAAAGAAAAGAGGAGTCACTAAAAAGCATGCATGTCAAACTTACAGTTAAATTTGGTGGTGGTGAAATAATGGTGTGGGATTGCTTCACTGCTCATGGTGTCGATTACCTTTGTAAGATTGAAGGGATTATGGATAATGTGTTATATAGAGAAATTCTTGCGAGAGAACTTATGGATACTATCGAATATTACAATTATATGCTAAAGGATGTTGTTTTCCAACAGGACAATGACCCGAAGCATACCGCTATAAATACGAAAAAATGGTTTGTCGATAACGAAGTCAATATGCTTAATTGGCCATCCCAATCACCTGATCTTAACCTGATTGAGCACTTATGGAGTATTGTCGATTGCCGTCTACGTCATCTTCCGGATATGATTTCGGGTAAGGAGAATCTGTGGGAGCGAATCCAGGATGTGTGGAATGATATTGAAGTCGAGACATGTACTTGTCTCATTGAGTCAATGCCAAAAAGAATATCGGACGTAATAAAGGCTCGCAGTGGGTATACGAGATGGTAAAGCTGAACTAGGTTAGTTAGTTTTTAAAAAAAAACCAATTTTTTTTTATTGATGTATATGAGTAATTTTTATTGTGTTTAAAAAGAACAAATATAATGCAACACATAATATTGAATATGTTTTTAATTTAAAAAAAATTTAAATTATTAACATAGTAATAAATTTATAATTATAAAACTGTAGCATTGTATTATTTAATAATATCAATCATGATTTGATATTTTTTAAATCTGAAAGAGATATAATGATTTAAAAATTGTGATTTGAATGTTGCATTATTTTTGATTGCCACTGTAATTATATTTAATAACCTAAAATAAACATTCTTGAGACAAATTTGCAATCGCATATTATAAATCCAAGTCTAAATATGTTTTACGTGATAATTTTGAACCAACGCTCAATATATTTTGAAATTTCGAGAAAATTTAGAATAGATCTAGACCAATCTTTTTTATTAATAGTATTTGTTACATTAAAACCTGGTATTATGGCCGATTTCTCATTCAAAGTTCATAAATGACCTTTAGAAGCTCATAAAATAATTATTTGCGCCCAAATTTGGTCATATAATAAAATTTTATATGGCGAACAAGTTTAATTATTACGTCGATAGCGGTTTTATCAAAAAATGTACTTTATATAGTCAAAAAATTTAATTTATTTTTTTTCGTTTCGGGTTGCTATCAAACCCCGAACCGGATTTTCGGTTCGGTTTCGGGTTGACCGAACTGTGCGAAGCACTAGGCCCGAATCGTTGCGCACGTTCCATCACGTGAATAGTTCTCGTGTATTATTCGTCATGTCATGATCTTTATCATGCCGATATTGGGATGCATCAACGTATATAGTAACTAAAACATTTTAACGTCAACATAAATAACTCAATTTATTATGACTTATGTTAGTTTCTTTTCTTCTACTATGATCATAGGTTTTGTTTGATTTTTCTTCTAGTTCTACAACCGAGTATTATTTACTAGTGAGAATTAAAAAATTTCTCCGAATGAACACCTACACTTTTCTTAAAAAAGTTATGAGATAGCTTGATTCGATTTATCGAGAATTTAACAGGTGCAGCTTATTGAGGTTTTGGCTTATAAAGCACTAGTCGAAAAGTATTATTTTTGCCTGGTTACTATCAAAGTTAAATAATAGTGGAAAATGCAAATTTATAATTTTTTAAAAATATCTTGCCTCAATATTTCCCAGGTAAAACAAATCTGTTCGACCAGTGTAGGTTTCAGTTATACACAATATAGTCAAGTGGCAGGCATAAAGTTTTTGATCTAGAATTTTGGTCATATTAATATTTAGGTTACCTTTATAAATTGATTATATCGCGATTTTACTATTGGACTGTATTTTATATTTTTTACATACATATATCGAAATTTACAGGCACATTATTCTTATGGGGACGCATCTCGATTTTCCATAGGGCAAGTGTGTGAACATTTTCCTCAACATTAAAATGGGTGATACATCAATCAATTGTTTCTTATCATTATCATTGTCGTTATCGTTATGATTTATTAGAATATGCAATCAGATATCGATATACAGCAAGTATATCAAAGGTCCATAGTGAACCAAATTTATAAATAGAAACGAAGGACGAGAACAACTGATAATTTTTTGTAGACATCAATTCGAGAAAATATTGGTAATTTTAATATCTAAGCTTACATTACACACGGAGAAACAGTCATGGAGTTTATTCAGGATGACATCGAGATGACTGGAAAGCTTACTGAGTCAGGGACAATGACAGACTCCATCAAGCATATCAGTATTCTGCAGATTTTTCTCTTGTACTTGCCAACAAAAATACATATAAAGCTTCAACATTAATGAGTTCGTAAAATAATGTGATAATAAATAATAGAAATATTACAAGTACATGTAAATAGATTTGCCTACTAAATATCAACTGATAACAACTATCGTATACTGAGGATTTAAGATAAAAAAATTTATTATGTTAGTTTATTTTGGCAAGAACTAGAAACTGCATTTTTGAAGTGAAACATAAAACCTGAAAGAGAAATGATACAAAGCCATAAATATATTAATGCTTAGGGTTATGCTATGAAATTTTCATGCAATACATTGAATTTAAAATGGATCAACTATTTTTATATATTAATAACTTTTTTAAAAAATTTGTCAATAAAAAATTCTTTCTTTATCTCTTAGTGGAGTGGAAGGCATGAATTCTCAATATGATGGTAATTACGTACTACATGTATGTTGTGAGGGCTATAAAATTTCTCATTGTTTACCAGATCGGGTGAAACATGTGCAAAATATACTGTGTAACAAATTCAACAATTTTCTCGGAAACATTACCGTTACTCCGTTATGAAAATGATTATCCAAATTGAGCATTTTTCGGAAAATAACGATAATAAAAATAAGGGTTGCTCCGTTGTCATTGCCATGTTGTAAATGCTAGGAAAGTTTTTAATGAAAAAATTCTATTAAGATTCATAAAATTTTTCATTGTATTTTATCCAAATCGAGTAAACGTATTTTGCAATTTTTTGGAAACATAATAAAGCATACTCTATTGTTGGAAACGACTATAAAATTTCTCATTGTGTTTTATCCAAATCGAGTAACGTCATTTTACAATTTTTCGGAGACATCATTTCTCTGTTGTTCTGTTGTTGTAACGACTACATGTATATATAAAATTTCTTTTTA